TTTTTTTTTTTTTGGGCTCAACCTATCTGGAATGTGGAATGCCAATTTTTATTTATTTTTATTTTAGTCTGAGAATAATATTTTCAACCGTCTGTTGAATATCTTTTAATATTGCTGTAGAAAGTGGAGTTACTGCATATAAGCTTTTATATTTTGCATGCTTCTGGTTGTCTGTTTTCCTTGCTTTATCATATTCTTATCTCAATATTCATTGCCGTTCATGTTATTGTTTACATATTTCATTATTGCAGCATACACAAAGGATCTCTTCCCTTGCTAGCATGCCTAACAAAGCATGATTTTTATATTCTTAACTGACACTATCTGTCAAATGTTCGACATATTTTGTTCTGTAATGAGAAGACTCTTCACTGTACCCAGTATAACTCTTAGTTGATTTTGTATTAGCATAACACCTGGAATCGTCATCATACAAGAATCATGATCAACCTGTATGCTGTATTTGAGTGGAAATTATCATTAAACAAATAGTCTAGATCTTCATACCATGTCAAAGAACTTGACTTTTCTAACTATGTATTGGCAATCTGGAGTTTTCCTGCTTTACCAATAATGCCCCTGTTTGGTTGTCAACTAAAAGTACCGGCAATATATATATTTTGTTTCAGGTTGTCGCCTAAAATAAATCACGAAACCGACCTGCGGATTGAGTTATCACCCCTTTTCTCTTCACGATATAATAGGATTTCATTCCGGGCCAATAGATTATCCAATCGCCTGATATTTATGGGATTAGGGGGTTTATCCCATCCTATCAAGGGAAACAAATGAGTTTATAAGGGTTCTACATATTTGGATGTTGATAGGAAAAGAGAATGGATGGATTTTTTTATCAACCCTTTTGGAGCACCTTACATTCGGTGGTGTTTAAACGATAGCAAGCTTTCTACACCACTAAAATAGAAACTCTTACAATAATATGATACCAAATAACACTTTTGACTGTCATTCTCTTTGCTGGGGTTATTGTAAAGTCTAGTGTCATCATATTTTATGAAATGTACTGCTGATGACTAGTTTTTTTGCTTATAATTTTTATTCAGTTTATGATACTTCGTACCTCTTATTCCATAATTTTCCCGTGTTATCTCGTGAAGGTACTCTGTTTCTGATTCTTCTACAGCCTCCTTCACATGAATGTTTTAGATTCATAATTAGACCAAAAACAAAATCAGCTCTAAATAGTTCATCTACCCATTGCTTAACCATACTCACTAGAACACGTCACACTGACTAGTTAGTTTATGGTTCATGCATATAACATGACCAGGATTATCTGTGGTTATGCCGATCACTGTGCAAAGGTGGAAAAAATATCATTACGTTCTTTTAAACAGGAAAACGAAAAAGGCTCTGATAAAAAGTGGTGACTGAGACATTCATGCTTTCTTGATGTACCGTAGTGTACATGAGGATTATTTGGGAAAGATTGTGAATATAATAATCTCTTTCTATATATAATATATCTGACATACTTGAATACCAGTTGGTCGAGTCCTGATAAACGGCCGATTCTGGACATTGTCGATGGAGGATGAACGCACAACTGTGGAAGGTAAATAGAATTTCAAATTTGTATATTTATTCTTTTTAAGTATTATTAGTAATTTGGTATATTGAGAGTTGTTGTGAATTGTCACATTTATGAAGGAGGTTCTAAAATCAAAATAAGATTATTTGGATTTGTTAGTTTATGAAGTTGCTATCTGATATTTGTACGTTTTTGCACGATGATTTATTTTTATAGATGGTGGATGTTCGCGCACGATGATTTATTGATACGACTTGGAGCACAAAGTTTGTTTTCACAAAGCTCTTATGTTCGGTTTAGGATTTGAAGCTCCGGCTGACACCATGGGTTTCTACAGCTTGCATTCGTTTATTTTGTTTGTGCAGTGATCGATCTGTGGAGGTAATAATGTAATTCTAACTCCAATGGAATAGCTGCCTGAATCGATATGTTGTGCATTTCTAGCTCTGACTGATACCTCACAAAGTTACAGGGCAAAAAAGATTCAGAATTTTTGTGGCCCGGCCCATCAGACCAATGGGTAGACAACGTGAGTGATAATTAAGAAACACATACTTAGTTACTTACAACTAGTCTCCTCTGCATCACCGCGGAGAGTGCCTTATGGGCCAGAACATCTGTTTTTATTGCCGACAGCCCGGACTACCCGTGCTAACTGATGCACATAGGGAAACAAAAATTTATATATTATATTATGCATGGTGTTTAAAATAGGTAAAGTGTATTACATTTTAAAATCTGACTATATGTAAATTTACAATATAAATCTATACTTATATAAAGACTCATCCTATTTACTAAAATTAATAGCAAAAAAATAGGCCAGCATTTAATGCAGTCCATATATAGTAGTTTTATTATTTTTCTTAATTTTTTTTTTAAATATCGTACAATTTAATTTATAAATACAATTTAATATAATCATACAATTTAATCATACAGTTTAATTTATAAAAATTATACAATTTAATTTTTTAAATATGCTTTA